AAAACCAAACGTATGATATCTAAATACCCACTACAATGTTAAATCGAAATTGATGGGAAAATTATACAGCAGGAAGCAAGATTTAGATATCTGAAATAAATGCAACAATTACGGAGATGTTGAGAAGAAGTACGACAACAAAGCTTAAAAGCAAGTAAATCGGCGGGATCTCTTAATGGCACAATATTGGAAGAACAAACACTAAGACAAGACACAAAAACAAGAATCTATAAAGCAGCAATTAAACCTATATTAACATACGCGTCGAAGACAAGACTTAACACATCTAAAACGAGACGAGTACTAGAAACAACTGAGATAGAAATACTCCGACGAATATCAGGGAAAAGTCGGTTGGATAGGGAAAGAAGCGAAAAGGCTAATATTGAAGAAGAAACAGGTTTTAAAGCCTACATACAAGAAGGAAGAAGAAGAAAAAGCAATAATCCTTTTCTTGTTACAATGAGAACAAAAATTATTTATTTTATTTGTAATTAAAAGTTGTTATTTTATACATGGAAAGAAACCTCCATAAATTGTAGTCAAAATTAAATTTTTTGTTTTTAAATTTCGATTTTAAACGCGGAAATTGTTTTCAAAAAAATCTTGAAATACAATTTTAAAAAATTAATATAATCTATTTCTAAATGGCATTAAAGGATATCTTTTAGTTAAAATTATAGTTAGACTTACTTGGTCTCAAGCTTAGGAACCCAGAAAACATGGCTGATATGTTTACAATTTTAGAGCTAAGTGTTAAACGGTATTGTTATTTATTTATGTAGCAGATGACTACATTATAGTTAAGTTTTGTGTATAAACAAAGAGGACAATATTTAAAAGGTTGCAATAACAATAATTATTTGACTCTTTGTTGCAGCTAAAAGATTGAATAGATTACTGCTATGGCGTATGCAGTCCAATTGCAAAATCGGAATAGGAGTTGCGAAAAGTATTTTGCTTTACCTTAAAAGCTGCCACAGTTAGTTCTTATGTCATCTGTCACAAGTGTAGTCACTGAGAAAACCCATGTGGCATAAGTTTTGCCAAGTATTATTTCGTGAGTTTTGCAGTCATCTTCGCGAGATGTTCTTTAGAGCTTACCATTATATCGAAATCCCTAGATAACCCTCAGACAAGTTCCTTAGCTACACTAATCATCTAAAATAGTCCTACGTATTTTGGGTGTTTGGTGTGGATAATTTTTTATGAGTTTTATGAGTTCCCTTTTATAAGTATATAGACGAAAGAGGATATGAGAATACGAGAGGTGGAATTATTTCTGATAGAGACATGTCATCAAGTAACTGTGCCAAAATTAGTGGGATGGGTTTTAATAACGGTTATTTGAAGAGGTCTTGCAGTATATTCGTGGATAATACGAAAAAGAATTACACTGGGTTAAAGGGATTATAAGAAATAGATACGGTGTAGGTAAGTAGTAGTTTCTCCCGTCGATTCCAAAGAGGGGTTCATTTGCTTCGCAATATAGATTTTCTACGGCGCTAGATCGAAAAGCGCCTATACAAATATGGAGGGCTGTATTATTTATTGAATTTAAAAGATTAAGGTGTTTTACAGATATGTATATATAAGATCCATAGTCCAGATTGGAATACATAAGAGATCTGTATATCTTCAGAAAGGAATTTTCATCTACACTCCAATAATAGTGCGAAAGAGTTTTGATAATATTTAGTCATTTGGACGCTTCACTTCAGCTTAGAAGTTATAGGGACAAATCGTCCGTGGTAGTAAATTATTAGGTCGTCTGCCTTCAGGACATGCCTAATAGGGAAAAGTATACCAGAGCATAAATCGCTTATTGCTAGATTAAAAAGAGTTGGGCTTTATACTAATCATTGTAGTACCCCATCGGTTTGAGTGTGGACTAATAAAAAATACCATTGACAGACACTCTAAACAATCGTGATCATAAAAAGCTTGAATTATAAATCTTTAAAAAATTGAATATATTGAACTTAATGTTATATAAGGTTAGGGTTAGCGTTAGTTACTTCAGTATAGCGTGCCTGCTAATAGTATCAAATGAGCTTTCAACGTCAAATACAGTAGCGACTTCTTTACTTTTGTTGAAAGCATTGGAAATATGACTTTGGAGAATTACTATATTGTCTTGAAGTGAGCGATATCGTCAAAATCTTGACTATTCTTTAAGAATTATGTTATATTTGTCAAAGCACCATACAAGTCTTTTATTAATCATTTTGTCAAAATTTTGCATGTGTTACAAGTAAGTGGTTCATCACTGATTCGGAAATTTGTTGGATGAACAGATTAAATTGAACATTGCAAGAAGTTTAAGGTGACTAGATGAGGCATTCTTAAGAGTTTTAATGGCAGAAGTGAGTTCTACGTAAGAGATTGGAAAATTAAGATATGTAATATCTTTAATGGTATCGGAAGAATACGGGAGAGGGATGTGTATTAATGAACCAAGTAAAGAAGAAATTATTTTGGATACAGTTAATTACGTTTTCAATAGTTTTGCCTAGAACTTGATGTGTGATTGGATCTCCACATTCAAATATGGGCATTGAAATCGCCTACTAGGAGTTTTATTTCCTTTAGTGAGTGGTTGGGCGGAATATAGTACTAGTAACTACATATAGTAAGTTTCTTTGGGTACCATGTGGTTACAGCGATAGCCCCCAGTTCGGTGGTAAGGGAGATGAGACGATGAGATGAGACTTTACTGAAACTAAAAATTAAAGTCCTGCCACTGGCTCTGTTGCAGTTATTTTGAATATAATGAGTCTTCGAATTTTTTAGTTTAGGAAGTTTGGATATTTTGAAATTAGTTTCTTGTAAATATGTAATTTCAGGCTGTTCTTCGGCGCTTAATTGCTTGATTCTTTCTAACCGAGGAATTTATCCATTAAAAATTCATTGTATGATTTTGAAAGTAATATTTAGTTAGTAAGATACAAGCTAGTGTGAGGATTTATGATTGGGGAATAGGAGCGCCGATTTCATCATTAGTCTGGAAACCGGATGAGGCACTCATATTGTCATAGTCATCAGGATTGAGTTGTTTAATTTTTTTTGCACTCTAGTAATGCGATTGTTAAAAGATCTCTCCTTTGTTTCTGAATGGAAAAATAATAAGTCGTTTAGTAACCTTTGAACGTTAGAGGTAAAGTTAAGAGCTTTCTTAAGTGGATCTGTAATACCATATGTAATTTTTAGGATAGCAATAAGCTGAGTTTCGGTAAGAGTGAGTTTCGATGAATTATTTTTGTAAATACCTTAAACTGCTTATAGTGAATTAAGTGTTAGCTTATGTTCTGCTTTTATTATTGTTCTAGATTTTTTCTTTTGGGTTTTACCGGAAATGTTATATTTTACAAACAAGAGAGAGGCATTTGGTTGTTAGTTGTATCCGGTTTAACGACCGGAGAAAGTTAAAAAGAAGTTCTTGTGTTGTTCTCGGTAGATATGGCTCATGTTTGCCTTTATATTGATAAGGGATTATGACTGCGTAATGTCAGTTTTTTTCTAGTTGAAATTTCGGAGGAGGATACATTTTGTAAATTGGTTTGATTAAGATTTCTTTCTGATGGGGATATATCGGTGGGTAGTGAAGTAAAATTTAGGGCGCTAAGCTGAAAGGAAGACTACGAAAGAGATGAGAGGATGAAGTGGCAGCGAACGTACAAAATTTGCTATACGTGAAAACCTGGAGAAGATCGGCACAAAACCGGAAAGATTGGAGGCATATTTTGGAGAAGGCCACGGCTATATTTAAGCTGTAGCACAATTGGGGAGAAAGAGAGAGAGAGGGTGATAAGGGGATAGCAGGTGGGGAAAGAATAGTTTACGTTACAGTAATTGAAGTTATAGAGCATTGATATAAGCGTCAGCAGTATGACAAGCTTGTTTATATAAAAAACATTCTAACTTATCAGTAGACACAAAAATTCTATATAAGGTGTTATCGTAAGTTATTAACAGAGAGGTTTAAATTAAAAAGTTTCCATTATCAGGAATAACTTATGAGACTTCTCGGAAGCTCATCATGTATGCATAAAATCACTAAATGAACCACATTTCACGTATGAAAGAGGAGAGGCTATTTGTAATACAATATCTTTAAGCGAATTTTTGATTATGCGGTGCGGTGTTTTGTTAGATACAATTGATATGGGAATACGTTTAGCAGGGGTAATAAGTCTTCGGATAGGAACAACTGCTGAGTTGATGATGATTTGATTTGATGGGCACTGAGAAGTTCGTTCACTACTGCAACGAAAGTTTAATAAATACAAATACAATTATTTGATATTCGAGATGCTAAGATGATATTTTTGGGGGTTACAATGTCACCTACAGCTTTTATATACTTAAAAAGAACAACATTTGGAATAGCATGTAAAATAATAATTGTTTAATTTTTATGAGGACATGAAGGAGGCGGAGGTTATTTAAAGTTGCAGCGACATAAGACTTGTTGGTTATTGTTATGTTTGTTTGTGAAGTTATTTAAGTGTTATTTGAGGTCATTTTTGTGAGCGATCCTAGATAAAAAAACCACTACAAATAAATTTAATTAATGCAACAGACGTCTAAGTAGCACTCTGAGGATAAAGTGATTATTAAAAATAACAGTTACATGGTATTATGTAATGCCACAGGATAATCAAATTGTTCAATTTCTATAGTTATCGATTTATAATTTAAAATAAACTGTAACGCTAAATTGTTCGTAAATATCACATTATGCTTTTTATTAACAAACTAATTAACAAAACTAGTAATAAGATAAAAATTGTACATTACAGAAATATCTATCTAAACAAACTAAAAACGAAGTTTACTCGTTCACTATCTAATTAAGAATTAAAAAGTAATATATTTATATTTGCCGAGATCCAATGAAAACTCTTTAAAAAACGTATAATTTTTTAAAGCAGTGTATTATAAAGTTTTTGAAAATATTGTTTAACCAAATCTGAAACTAAACGTTTTCTCTATTTCAGGGATTCTTACGTAGCAACTCAACGTGATCATACGTTTGTTCAGGCCAATATGACCCCAACTCGTTTAGCGCCAAGAGATTCCAGGAGTTTACCAACCGGTAACCGTTTAACAGGCAGGTCAGTGTCGACTGACAGTGTCTACACAATCCTTATACGACTTCCTGGGGAAAACACAGACGGTGCCGTTAGCAACGAGGGACCTTCCATCAAGATGATACCCGAAGTAAGGTCGATTATGTAGTTTATTGGAGATATCAATAATGCTAAATACCGAAAAGTTAAAAAATTAAAAAATTAAAAATGATAAATATTAATAATGCAGTCTAACGTAATTATTTTAAATCTAATTTTGCCAACGTGCCGAAAGTTGATTATGGGCATATTTTGGTGTATATGATGATAATATACGATATGATTTGGGCATATTGATGATAATAATAGTAGTGTATTTATCTAAACCAGCAATGTCTTTAACTTCCATCTGATCTTCTTATGATTAATCCTTTTTCTATTAATATATAAATTAACTGATAATAATTAACTATCATAATGCGTTTAAGTGGCTTTCATTTTTTATTCAGTATAAACTATTTTTTTACCCGTTCTATGGATTTCTCGTTAATGAATTTTTTCCCTATACTCTAATTGAATTTCAGTCTTCATGATTTCTTATCGTATCATATTGTATTTAAAATAATAACTCTAATGAATTATATTTTCAACCCTGAAATGAGAAAGATAGCCCTACGTAAAGATAAGTAATATTGTTCCTAATACGGCCTTAGCCAAATTGTTATTTTCAAATTAAAAAAACAAAGGTATAATTTGTGAATTTGTGCCTAATTATAATCGATGACAACAGTACAAGATTTATTTAATTTCTTCTTAAAAGCATTTTAAATTTAATATATTTGGACAGTTTGGGATTTCAACCATAAAAAATTTTGCCTTATCAGTGATTTCGCATTAATTACACCTGTCGTTAAAGACCCATATATATACTTTATTTTGCATTGGTGGGTCGGCCTATCTTCTGTCGATAAAGAGTGTTTAATAAAATTATTAATTATTAACCATTGAAAATAAGTAACTACAAAGCAATCTAATATCCAAAAGCAACAAAATATCTCACAAACATATTCCTTAGCAACATTTAAAGTTTAGTTCTCATCCCAGGAAAAGGCGATCATTTTTAACGCAATAAATAGTACCAAACTCTAAGGTTAACTTATCCTCTTGAGAAATACAATTAAATTAAAAAACATTATTTTTGGTAATGGTAAAATCAAGGTAAAATTATTTTAGCTAGGAAATTATTTTAGCTAGTCATAGTGATACCTTATCCGAATCTAACTCAATTCTCAACTTTGGGAGGCAGATATATATCAGTGACCATAGCCTAATTTTAATATTTACCCCATGTAGATAATGCAGTTTTTTAACAATCACATATACCATCAGAAGAACAAATTCATCAGCAAGTAGAAATGTAGGAGTAGACTTTGGAATTAGAAATGTAGCTGGAGATGGCATGATTAAATAAGCAACAGTATTAGATATTTCCATTGTTAACAAAGTCTTTTAGAAGAAAGAAACTCAACATATTATATACAAAAGTGGACAAAACAAGTCCCAAATAGACTATTTTATAAGAAAAATGAAGATATACATGAAAGTAAGGACTGGAACGTAATAGTTAGTAAGACAGTAAGCTAACAATACAAGTTGGATAGTAACGTCATGGATAGTAACGTCATAAAGAAGTTTAAGAATAAGGTAACCTGGTGGTGGTCCAAAGAAGTTCAAGCAAAAATAAGAGAGAAGAGAAAATTATTAAAGCAGAAGCGTATACAAATTTATACAGTCAACTTAATAAGAGGAAAGGAGAAGCAAAGATGTATAAAAAAAGCCAAACATAGAGCAAAAAAAGCAAAAGATTTTAATCAGATTAGATGTTTCTGAGATGAAAATAGTATATATAAATAATATTTCAACTATGCACTACCATACCTCATGAAAAACAAATTGCAAAATATTGGTTCAGTATCTGTTTTATTTATGACAAAGTGGCACCTTATCCGAATCTAACTCAATTCTTAACTTTGGGAGGCAAATATATATATATATATATATATATATATATATATATATATATATATTATATATATATATATATATATGTATATATATAAATATATATATATATATATATATATACATATATATATATATATATATATATATATTATATATATATATATATATATATATAACTGCGCATAGCCTAACACTTCCGGACTTATTTCTACTTAAGTTTTATAATATGCCCTATAGAATTTCTCGCATCTCGATGTTCAGAATCCAAAATTCTAGACAATCAACGCTCAAATAATGAATAATATTTACCCTGTGTAGATAATGCAGTTTTTCCAACAATCACATACACTATCAGAAGAACAAATTAATCACCAATTTTCTACGTTCTAAATAATGCAATTTTGCAAAAGATGCAACCAATATTGGGAAAAGTAATGTTTGCATCCCAAAATTCATACACAATAACTACAATAACAAATATTACCCAAAAATCTAACTCTCAAAAACACTGATAATGATATATTTTCAACTGATATTCGCACAACGTAATGTATTCCTTGTACCTAAAATTCTTCAAAAAATCAAGAAACCTTAGTAGCCCTATATTACGGTTACTAGAACCAGCAAAACGTTTTTTTAAAAATCACTCTCCATTTTTCGTTCTTAAATACAAACAAATGGATATGCTTCTATCTAATATTACGGGCTTTGTTGATTCCTTAAGTATCATTAAAGAATACACCAAAGATTACATCGCCTTAATTGATATGATCACACAAATTTATCCCTATTTAGAAGACAGAAGTATAAATCGCAAACTAACGTCTCTTAACAAGAAAATCCATACCTACCTTGGTAACGATATTTCTTACTATGACAGTGAAACAGGATATAATACTGATAGAAAATGTATTCAGCCATCAAACGACCAAAAATCTTTTCCGCCCATAACAATAAAAAGACCTTCTTCAATGTAATAAGAATTATACTGGAATGATGGCATCTACTGAGATAAAATATTTCGGAAGTAAAATGAGCCACCATTAGGATTTCCGGGTGAGGACTACTTCAATGGAAACACCATTACAGGTTAGAAAAATTGGGATAGGGACTTGGAATCTTGAAAGCCTTATAGCTAAGAGTGTGGAGATATTAGATGGGTTTAAAAAAAGAAAAATTCAAATCACCTGTATTTAAGTATTCAAAAGACTTGGTCGAACTAACAAAGGCCAAATAAATAAAACGATGCCGTAGTAAAAGTTATAAAATCGAGCGATACAATAATTTTAATGAAAGTTGTACTTGATTAAGAATTATTGAATGTTGTGTGTGTAGCTTATTAAACATGGCCGGGTGTGAAAGAAAGAAACGCTTTCTATGATCAATTAGGAGACATAAAAAGTGATATGGTATCAGATAATAAAGTTATTTTAGGAGGTTATTTTAGTAAACATGTGAGTCAATCCAAGACAGAATATGAAGCAATGTGTAGAGGAGTCGGTTTTGAAACTAGAAATGTAGGTTGAGATGACATGATTAAATAAGCAACAGTATTAGATATGGCTATTGTTAACACATTCTGTTAGAAGAAAGAAACTCAACATATTACATACAAAAGTGGACAAAACAAATCCCAAATAGATTAGTTCACGAGAAGAAAAGAAGATATACACAAAGGTAAGGACTGAAAGGTAATAGTTAGTGAGACAGTAAACTGACAGTATAAGTTGCTTGTGTTGGACATCAAAGTAAAATGCGATACAAAACCAAAATATTAGAGAGGGCCACAAAAAATCAAGAAGTGGATGATAAAAGATGAGAAAGATAGATTTGACAGACAACCAGTTGAGTTAACAGAGACAGTAGGAGCAATGATGACCAAAATAACCAACGAAGAGGTGGTTCAAGCAGTTCAAAAAATAAAAAAGGAAAAGCAGTTGGAGCAGATGATATTTCTGGGAAAATGTGAAAAGTATTAGGAGCGACAGGGACAAGTTGGTTAACAGGTATATTTAATATAATTATGAAAGTTGGACGAATGCCAGACGAATGGAGAAGCAGTGTATTAGTACCTATCTACAAAAACAAAAGCGATATACATACAACAATTTACAAACTACAGGGCCAGAAAACTACTTAGTCACACCATGAAAATATGAAAGGGAGTAATTGATAGACAGATACGTAAAGACACCGAAATATTTGATAATCAGTTTGGCTTTAAGCAAGGCAGATCAACGACAGACGTAATGGTAATTATAAGGCAGTTGATGAAAAAATACAGGAATAAAGAAATAAACACTTATATGGTATTCATTGATTTTAAGAAAGCATATGACGGAGTTCCTTGAGAGATTCTGTGGTGGGTATTCTATAGGAAAGGAGTCTCCGGTGAATATGTAAAGATTGTGAGAGACACGTATGAGTAAGTTATATATATATATATATATATATATATATATATATATATATATATATATTCGTATGAACTTAACTTTACACATTGCAGTTTTTACATAAAGAAAAGGAAGAAAAAAGTGACAATAACAATAATAAATAAGTAAGTAAATAAGTAAACACTAACACAGAACATATAAAATTAAAGTCGAAGGTTACATCCTCGAAGCCAATTTGTCGCCTTGGGAGTAAGTTGGTGGATTTCTTGAAGGCTGCCAAAGAACTTGGTGGCTGGACACTCGAAGACGATGTGGTTAATTGTTTGTTCAGCGGCGCTGCATTTGTCACATTTCGGGCTGGCATTTATACCCCATTGATTCAGCGATTTGTTACATATTCCATGACCAACTCGTATTCTATTTAGGTTGCACCATTTACGACGGGGAAGAGAAAAGCCGTCTGGTTTGATTGTGGGGTTTTCTATCAGATTGGAATTTCTGATATCTGAATTCCATTCGCCCATTCAGTGCTCTTTGGTAGTGAAAACAGCCAATTTTGTAGCAGTTCTAATAGGTGGATGTCTGGATTTCAGTCTTAACTGCCTTTGGTGTAGTTCAGCGATGTCTGTGTTTATCGGTAGTTCTGGGTTTTGTTGGCATTTTTAAACTAGAGTGTTGAGTGCGGCAAGTCGTCTTGTTGCTGGTGGAGCGATGTTGCTTAAAACCGGAA